TTTTGCTCAGGGTTTTTGACAATAAAAACTGGATCTAACTGCCTGGCACACCCAACCCATTCCAGGAGAGCACATCCCAAGAAAGCATATTCAGCGAAACCTAAAAGGGTTAGGCAGAGCAATGTCAATTTCAAACCTAAAGGTGCTGCATTGTAATTTGCTTATTTGATAAAGCCGGATCTTACCTTTTTATGATAATTTTTAACACCTTTCAATCCCATAGGGTAACAGTTATAGGGCAAGATTGTGAGTGGCTCTAAACATAACAGATTAGCATAAGACTAGGTATAAAAAGCATGTGCATCAGGTGACTAGCAGGAAGGAGGGAACAGAACGGTCATTTTCTGTTCTAAACCCGGACTCCAGACCCCCCGTGTGAGTGAGGATCAGATCCTGATCAAGGGACCTTCCCTGGTAAGCCCTCCGACAGCGTCAATCAGGGACACCTGACTTTGCTGGAATCACTTGACGCGTACCTGGCATCGAGGGACTCTCTATAAGTTGCCAACCCATGTCTGTCTGTTGTTTTGAACAGCCCAGTGTCTGATACCCTCGCAGTGCCCAGTTGGCCTGCAACAGAACTGATCCATCTATCTGTTGTTATTATCTTTATTACTTACTATTAGCTCTTTAATACTGCATTATCTGCTTATCACATTTATCTTTCTGTTAACTGTTGTGTGTGTAAGCTATAATAAATTTGCCTTTACTTCACTCCCAACTTTGCCTTCTCAATCCGAAACTGAACCAAACAGCCCAGTGGCTGATACCCTTGCAGCGCCCAGTTGGCCTGTGATAGAATTGATACACTCACAGTGCCCAGCTGGCCTGTGACACCAGCCAATCATACACCGCCAAAGGCAGGCACAAAACATCCCCACCCTGCCATTCAGATGGGTGGGGGCAGAGACACAGTTCAGTGTGCTGTGTGGGGCCAGCTGGTGCATCCCTCTTCTCCCCTTCCCTTCCCTTCCACCTCTCCCTCCTCTGCGTAAGAAGCAAACGCACCAGAAGAGACGCTGCCACCTCACCGTGGGCACGCTTCATCCCCACCCACCGGTGCATACCCCCTATAACCTAAGTACCCCTAGGGGTATGCCTATGCCTGGTTGACCACCCATGTATTAAAGGTAAGTAAAAATGAATTTATACACTATAGTGTACAGTATTCAAGTACCTAACCCAGGGGCGGGCAATTATTTCGGGTGGAAGGCCGCTTACCCAGTTTTCGCAAGCTGTCAAAGACCGAATGGGTAGCCCTGCCCCTTGACAGGTCCCCCACCTCCTGGTCACCATCTTAGGACCAATGTCCCAGGGTCAACACCGGTGGGGCCCAGAGCAGGGCACAGGCTGGCAGGGGTCTGTGGAGCTGGGCAGGGCTGCACCAGCAAGGTAAGAGGGGAGCTGGCCCAGCCCCATAGAGACCCTGCCAGCTGGGACCCTGTATTCCTGCCGCCCTGCTCTATGCCCTGCTGGCACTGGCCCCGGGACACCGGTGTGGGCCCTATGCTCCTGTGCCCACTCACTCCCAGTGCCCCCCAGGCCCGCAGTACAGGCAGAGGGCAGCACACAGCCCCGAACCCCTGCTCCCTGGCAGGGAAGGAGCTGGTGTGGAGACCAGGGAAAAGGGGCCCCCTGTCCACCCCATGGCCAGCACTCACTGCTGCAGTCGCTCACAGTCCATGTGGGGCTTTCCTGAGCAGGCACAGGCAGCCCCATGCAGGCTGCAAGCAGCTGCACTGTGGGGCACCGGCCACGGGGCAGGGGAGGGGCCACTTTTCCCCTGCACTCAGCACCAGCTTGTAACCTGCCCCCGCTGCCAGCCTGGGCCCTGCGCTGGCTCTGGGCTTGCCCGTCAGGGCTGTGCCACAACAGCAGCAGCTGCGGCCCCCCCATTTGCCGCACCAGTCAGTGTTTGCTGCTGCTGCCTGCCTGGAGCTCATGCCACGGTGGGCTGTGGTGAGGCTACCACCACCACCTCTGGGCTGCCCAGCGCATGAGCTCTGGGTGGGCAGCAGCAGCAAACACTGCCTGGTGCAGCAAGCAGCAGGGGGGGGAGGAACAGCTGCTGACACTGTGGTGCAACCCTGACAGATGAGCCCAGAGCCAGTGCAGGGCCCAGGCTGGCAGCAGGGGCAGGTTACAAGCTGGTGCTGAGTGTGGGGAAAAAGTGGCCCCTTCCCCGCCCCATGGCCGGCATCCCACGCTGCAGCCAGTTGCAGCCTGCATGGGGCTGCTCAAGACAGCCCTACATGAGCTGCAAGCAGCTGCAGCAGGGAGTCCTGGCCCCAGGGCAGGGGAGGGGCTGCTTTTCCCTGCACTCCACACCAGCTCCTTCCCTGCCCTTCCCCCCCTCCTTACCTGAGCTTCCTGCACCAGGGCAGCCACATGATCTCAGCCCAGAAGCGCCTGCTGGGGAATCCGGCTGGGGGGGCAGGGCTGGGCAGGCCCTGCTGTTGCAGGAGCCCACTGTGGCTTCCCCTGGGTCCTACTGCCCCTGGTTCCTTTCATTTTTGACAGGAACCAAGGACAGATAAATTTTAAATTTCAAAATTTTTTTAGGTGCCCTGCAGTCCAGATACAATGGCCTTGCGGGCCGGATCCAGCCCGTGGGTCGTATTTTGCCCACCCTTGCCCTAACCGCATTTTCCCCATAAGCCTTTCGTTTTACCAACCACAGTTTTGCCAACCACAGGAACTTTCCGGAACCTAACCCCCACGGTTGGCAAAGGAAACCTATATGGCACATTCCGATCTTCCTCATGAAAGCAAAATCAATATTTTGTTGCATGGCTTGCTGTTTTAAACCCACTGAACTCACACTGGCAGAACAAGCAACAGATATCCATACAAAAAAATTCCTTCCTCTTCTGTAATGCAAATTTAATGGTGCTGTATTTGCTGGATTTGAAACTTGATGTCCACTACAGCAGTGTCCAAAAGTAATTTTAGCACAGTATTTACAATATTTAAACTGAAAAGTGTAAACATCTATTTTATTCCAGCTGCGCTTAAGAAATAATATAAAGTGGATAGACTCAAAGTATATAAAAATTAAACAGCAAATTGTTAAACCCTTTTCTTCATATTCTGACTTAAGACTTAAACATATATTTACATAAAAGTGAGTGGCACATACTCTAGACACAATAAATGGCAAAATAATGACAGGTTTATAGCCAGTGCTAGAAGTCAGTTTAGAAATTACAATGATGATAAATGGTCAGTTTCAGGGTTAATTTTTCCACCCTATCAGAGAATGGAAAACTCTGTTTGAAAAATGTAGTGTAAGCAAAAGAGTCTGGATGATTGCCGACAGCATAAAGTTCTGCTGTATGCAAAAAGAAAAGCAGCACTATACAATATTTAAGGGGTGGCTGGGGCCAGCAGAGAGGGAACAATCAAAAGAAAATTCTTGAATTATAAAATAGTGTGGGCTACAGTTCCAAGAATCAGAAGTGCCATCAAAATAAGTACACTGAAAAATACAGACAGTGACTTTATGATATTTTAAAATAACTTTACTGAATTAAAAATGCTTGGTTTGTCTGCTTTGGAGCCAAATACTTAAGTTCTTGCCATCATTACACATGAACAAGAACTGAAAAAACATTGAAGATCATCTATACCAATGCTAGTGCATGGCATGGGTTTGGATCAGATGATCTTTGAGGTCCCATTCCTCCCCATGAGTCAATGAAAACACACAATAATCAGTTGGGGGGGGATAGGGTACAGAAAATATCACAGAGTTTCCTTAACAAAGTTGCTTCCAGACTTCTCCAGCAGAGCAGCAGCATTTGAAACAGCAAGAAGCCCTGCAAGTCTTAGAAGATCTACTAAGGGCCATAAACATCTATATGGATGCTTGCTGTATTTAACCTGGCTCTAAGGCTCTCCCCTCCCCTCCTCCCTGCAATAGCTGTTTCCAGCTTCTTGGCAACTTGACACCTTTCAAGCTATTTTGCCCTGGAACCTGGTGTAAACTAGTGCCCTTTCATGTGAGCACACTGGTCAGGAATTCTGCATGAAAATGGTTTTGTAAAGAAAACACAGTCCTCACAAATTTAAAATTTTAAATGCCACAATTTTTCAATTTTCCATCAAGTCTAATTGACCTGAATTAAAACATTTCTGTTTGCTGAACCAAATCAAAATGTTTTATTTTGGGTCAGTTTGAAATTAATCTGTCTGCTGGAATTGCTCCATGTCTCAAGGTGTTTCAGTGCCTCAGGCTCACATTTTCCTGTTTGGATTGTGCTTGCTTACCACAATTACTTAACCCAAGTGTAGAGTAGAACTCAGATTTTTTGTATCAGTGTGGCCTGCAACCTTCCTAATTTACAGGCTCAGCACCCTTTGAAATAAAAGCCACAACAAAAAGCTATACCTCAGCAGTCCCATGCAGTTGTTTGCTGTGGCTATATATACTCCTGACAAGATCACAAAGTCTCATCTTTGCAGGGGGCTACGGAAGCTAACCTTGAAGAGAATCCAAATTCCACTATACCAGGGTATCTCTGGTCGAACTACCACGGTGCATCAATCACTATGGTGGACTACAGTGAACCATGGGAGATACAGTTTCACTGGCTGCCACATCCTATGGCAGTGACTTTCCAAATGTTAATTATGCATTGATCCAGTAGCCTAGAAATCCTGTATAATCACTGCAGAGGCAGGGCATGGAATAATGAATTTTGGAGGAGCCACATTGCAGCTTCACAGCTTACCTGTAAATCAGGACTTTGAATTCCTCACTCTCCTTTGCAAAGACCAATTTCTATTTGATGTAACTATTACTGTAATTTTACAACTATATTTTTTTAATTTAATGAATTCATATTATAGACTGTTCTACAAAATACTTTAAATATAGCATACTTCATTACTTAATACCTGTGCAGTATTTCTTAAAATGTGGAAGATTTTTTCTCTAATGATAGATAATAAACATATTAATCATAAATATATCAATTACTCTTTCATTATGTTTTTACCATATCTGAGATGTTGGTTCCAGAAATATCAATGGATATCAATGACAACATATTTCCTAAAGCCTCAATGCCAACATCAGTCACATTTTCACAATATCGCAGATTCAGGTAGTTCAGATTATGGCACCTAAATTGAAAACATTAAAAAAAACAGAAATGTTTATTATGTCTTTAACTTTTCAAGGTTTCCCAAGACATTAGGCATCCAGTTCCCATTCAATATCAACAGGATCTTAACACCTAACTTGCTACCTATCCCACTCCTTTAAAATCCCAGTTAAATAGAGTGACAATTTTCATAGATCTACAACATTAGAAGGGACCATGGGATTGCTTATCTTGTATAACCTCTAGCTTAATACAGGCCAGTTACCCATGTATTAAGTGCTATAGCTTTCCAAATTTAATTTTCAAGAAACACCATTTCAAAATCCTAATTGTTGATTACAACTGCCAAACACTGTATTGTACCTTTGGGCTATTTTCACAACAGAGACATCAGTGACTTGGAAGCAATTAGTCAAGTTCAACTCTCTCAGTTTTGCGCCCGAGGAGCCTTCTAAAAATGATTTTACACCAGCATCACTGATTCTAAAATATAAAAACAAACAGTCAATTCTGCACATTTTCATAATCCAATAGACAATTTGTATCTGGTGACCTACATTAAACAAACAGAGATGAGCTGTTTTTCATCACTATTTTTAATGGAAATTGAATAACTAGCATAGGAAGAATGTGTTGGATTGGCAAAAAAAGATATTGCTTCTTGTAAGCCTCTGGAGAACTAAAACTTTCTGCAAAAGTTCTTTTAGAGCAGGGGTGCTCAACTTCTGGCCCACAGGCCAAATGTGCTCCACAGAGCCTTGGAATCTGGCCCACAGGGCTCCTCAATGGTTGGGAAGGTTGGCAGCAAGGGAGTGGTGGCAGTTAATATTGCCACCCCTCCCCACTGCCAAAATCCCAAGCCCCATGCAGTGGGTTGGAACTGAGCCATGCCCTCCCCAGCATGATTGACCAGTTTACATTTGTTTTATCCTTTGTCTTTAAAAATTCTCTGCGTGTCCCTAAGCATTGTTCGCTCTTGGACTACAGTTATTTTCAAGAAAACAGACAAAAGTAGGTCTACAAAGCATGAACAACATTAACAGAAAAAAAAAATGAACTTTTCGGGGAGATTCTGCCCAGTATAAAACTTTCCATTGATGTACTTACGTACATCTAAGGCACAATCTGATTTTTGTATTTAAGAACTACCAACCAAATCAGATATATGTATACTGTCAATTATGTTTTTCTAATCTCTTTATATTAGCTTCCTTTATCGACAAAATTGCTTAAAAAGAATGTGTTATGATTCTTAACTTTGCTATTGCTGGGACCATTTGCAAATGTATGTAAAAATAACAAATGACCTTACAGAATTTTACACATTTTATCATGCCTTGCGAAACTTCTTCAAGGATTTTGAAATCCTTTAATATCCAAGTTGGAAGACACAGGTCCAAACACATACACCTCTTCCCCCCAAGCAGCCATTTGGCAGACAGACTGGAAAATCCAACCCTCTAAATGTTAAATCAGGCATAAAGGCAGCTATTTCCCCTTCACAATGGAAGCACCATCATGCTGTTATGATATCACACTGGCGCATCTCAACACAGCAAAATAATATGTACAAGAAATGTCAGCATTTTCTGAGGTAGGCTCAAGAATCCCAGAAGTAATATAATGATTTGCATATGTAGTACCCCTAGAATGAAGATGATCCTAGAAATCTCCAGGTAGGCGGCAATCCTAACTGTATCATTATTTAATAAATTGTAGCTATATTTTTTAAATATAGGGCTTTTTGCCTCTTTTGTTCCCCAGCCTAACCCTTATGCACAAAACCTGGAAATTTGATGTCTTTAGAATCCTTCATAATTTTGTTTCATTTCTACATTAAAAATTTAAATTCAAAAACAATTTCTATATAACAGCTGTTTTTCTACAGTGATGCAACTTGCTGCATTTGGGCTGATAACTGCAAAAAACGAGATAGCTTTCTTTATATCCTAGTACTTCCTAGTTCACATATATTATCTCTAGAAGTTAAAGACAGTCAAACTGCAATGGTTCAGTCCCACAGATATTCTGCTTTGCTTATATTATTAACACTGTAAAGACATATAACTTTAAAAGCTGGTAACTGATCTGTTTCCTTGTTAGGAATAGACAGAATTTTATTAAAATAAGTAGTTAAAAATGGATGTAAATTACTACCTTATACAGTCAGCTAAATTCAATACAAGAATATACTTCAGTGATGAAATTGTCTTAAGACCAACATCGGTAATCTTCTGGCAATCAGCCATATAAATGTGCTTGATGTACGGGCAGGATTTGCTCATCAACTTGAAGCTTAAATCAGTAATCCGATTATTCCCTGTCAATATATACAACAGTACAAGTTGCATATTAGCCATGAATACAGGCCTGATCAAACCAAACTCTGAAATCAACTGATTAATTTAAAATGAGCCAGGTCAGACTCTAAAAGTACAAAGTGAATAATTTTATGAAATACTATACTGTTACTGACCTTCAATTTGGACCTTGACAAGTTTACACTCAGCAAGGGCTTTAAAAGCTGTGTCAGAGAGATGAGGGGAGTCAAGAAAGACAACAGATGTAATCTGTTGACATTTTTCAACCAAAGCCTTTAAAGAAAAAGAAATAAACAAAAGATTTGCATTTAGGGGATGTCACAAAACAAAAAGTTAACTGATATGATAATCTGTAAAATGTTACAATTAACATCATATTTCTTCCTTAAAAGATGGATCATATTTACCTAAATGCAAGATGACTGCATTTAAGATGACTCCCCCACACTGAATAGATTCTATACATGGAAAATTTACACATTCATCCCCTCCACTGCTGCAGCAGAGGAAGTACTGGCAGGGGGCATATGGGGGGGGCAGGGAGGCATGGGCAGGCAGTGGGGAAGGCAGTTAAGGGATCATGTGATGGGCGAGGTAGTGGGAGAGGACGTGGGGGGCAGATGGTGGGTGGGTCAAGCAGGTTGGCCCCTTCTCCTTTCCCCATGTTGCCTGTCTCTCCTCACACTTGACCCCACATGCCCACCTCCCCACCATCTCTGTCACCCCACTTTTCCCCCCTGCAGCCTTGGCTTCCCCACTTCATCCTCTCTTCACAGCTTTGGGCCCCATGACCCCCTTCTCCTGTCTCTGCCTCTGCCTGCCTGTGCTTACCCTTGCTCTGCTCCAGGAAGTTCTAGCCTTGCTCCAGCCTGGGCCATAGAGCACAACCTCTGCCCAGCCTGGTAGCATCTGTGGGGCCTGGCCAGAGGCAGCAGGGGTGCACACAGCAGCTACAGTTCTGGCCCCATCCCTGGGATGGGGCTGTGGCCAGACCCGGAGCCACAAGAGTTGCCTACCCTCACGCTGCCTCATAGTCATAAATGGGGAAAAAGTCCTTGCGTTGGATTAAAGTAACTACGGTAGTACTTTTTTTAATAAAAAAGCTAAACTTCTAAATTGTGAACAATGGTAGAGATAGTTCATTTCGAATAGTATATATTTTTATCAGCACTTGAACAAACAGAAATCAGTGACAGAGAGACAAGAAGTATAGCAGAATCCTGAGAGCAGAGATCCAGTAGAACAACTGCATTTGCAGAAGCCTGGAAAACATTTGCCATTATATGTGACATTTATGAAGATCTTGTTATTGAAGCTGTGTATCAAATCAATAGGACAGGACTGCCTCATATTCTATATTAATAGCCAACTAAACTGTGATTTAATATAAAATAAAATCATGTAAGTCTCATCTATCTGAAAGATTGTGTTTACAAAGGAATAGACAGAAAAACTGTTGGAAGTTTCTGAGAACAATCAAAAGTTAAACGGATTTGAAATTTTGCTGCAGAACAATTTTAATTACATATTAATGCTTCCTTAAAAAGTGTCAAATAAGAGTAAACTTCCCTTATTGAACTGCATGTTAAAATTGTCTTTGAAATTAACGTGAGAAAAGCACCCAAATCCAAAGCCAAGAGTTTCCTCTGAATATGAATTAGTTTTCAATTTCTTACTTGAATACATCTGTCTGTAAGAGTTGGCATATCATTGATTATCAAGTGCTGGATTTTATTGCAGCCACTGGCGATATATCTGAAGCCATCACAAGAGATCTGTTTGAATAAATAAAAAATATCTATGCCTTATAGAAAACACTACAAAGAATAGTACAGTAACAGCCAGAAGTATGTTGCCAGAGGTATGTTTAGTATTTTGAACTAACTTGTAACTTTATACTGACTGAAATACACGTTTTATTATTTCAAATTATTAAAAGAACGAAGGGATGGATGTATATGGAGTATTACAATACAAAAACTGTAATGTATCACTTACAATAGTACTAACACAAGTTGTTTAATTTTTTTAAGTGCCATATCAAACAACAGTTCACTTTATTTAAGGAATGCTCACCGTTTGAGCATTTTGGCCTAAAACCCTGGTGACCTAGCAGGCACATCTACATGTCGCCATGCTTTAGTACTTCCTTTAGTACTAAAGCATGGAGTTATGGGTGGGTTACTACACCATGTGTACAGCACATGGTTAGATTTCACCGCTACGTCATCATAGTGGTGCACTATACTGGGGGAGCACGCCACTACAGTGACGTAGCCGGTGATCATGTGTAGACCCACATGATCGCTACATCACTGTAGCTTGCTGTATAACAACACAGCACATCACTATGTTGCCATAGGGCAACGTGTAGACACATCCATCTTTAATCAAGACATCCTTCATTTGTGTGCTCTGCTGAGGAAATATAGAACAAATCCAAACTCTGAGTACACAACTGCATAAACCTGAGAAGAGAGGTCATTACAGAATTTGAATTTCAGAGCCCTTTCCAAGCACTACAATGAACTTAACCCAAACCAAAAATCTAATACCTGGGGAAAATGGAATGCAGATCGGAATACAAGTTCCTTACTAAAATAAATACTTTTAAACATATAAACCACAGAATAACAAACAAATGCTGTCAGGTTCTTCTGAATTTAAAAGCTAGCTTTGGAAGACTGGTTCATCTAACATCCATTATGAACTACAGTTCTTTAAGTAATAACACATAGAATCTGTCACTGGTAAATGGCAAAGAAGGTATTTTATACCGTTCCTTTCCTAAACTGGAGTTCCTCGCCTCCCCTCTGCCCCCGTACCTGACTACCATAGAAAATAGCTTAAATGGGAACTGCACCCACCTGGCCTCATGTACGTGCTCTCCTGCCGCTTTGGAGTGTGCACCCAATGCCAGCCGCAGTGTGTGTTCCTGTGGCCTTGATGTTCACCCCAAAGAAGGCCCCGATACTCACCTGCTACAACTTGATCTTTCCCTTCAGTGGTGGGGCTCCTTTTCATAGCTCCTTGTGGACCAGGTACTACCTTAGTAGGCATTTTTTGGGGCTCCACCTCCCCTACATCCCAGCCATGTGCCAGACCTCAGGACAACCAGATGATGGATCATCAGCTTGCCCTCTGATGTCTCCTCCTGTCCTCTCTTCCCCTTGCTCGTCTCCTGGCCTCCTTCACAGGATGTCAGACTGTCCCTGACAAAGCGTCGGGTCTTCCCTCACTACGTTGCTGTACACTGCGCTGTCCTGGGTCCTCCTGATTTGTGGAGGTTGCTTGTGAGACCTCTCCCTGACTCAGGATAACTCAAAACAAAATTAAAACACAAAAGGAAAGGTTGGGGTACAGGGTCTCAGCCTGCCCCACTCTCACGGGTTCAGCATCTGTGGCTCCAAGGTCCCTCAATGCCATCCTCCCTGGCCTGGTTGCCCTGATGGTCCAATGTTGTGCCTCCGTCAGCTGATCCTGGACCCCTCTATCAGGTTCTGGTTGTGATTCCCTCCAGGCTGCTGATGCAGCCTGTGTATGGCTCAGGGAACAGCCTTCTCTTCTGGCTCTGGTGGTGCTCCCCTGGTCATTTCTCTGCCACTGGCTTTTAAATCATCCGGGCAGTGTTCATAGAATCATAGAATCATAGAAGTAGGGTTGGAAAGGACCTTGTAGATCTTCAAGTCCGACCCCTTCCTGGGCAGGAAAAAAACTGGACTCAGATGAGTCCAGCCAGGTAGGCATCAAGCCTCTTCTTAAAGATCCCCAGGGTAGGAGCCAGCACCACTTCCCTAGGAAGTTGGTTCCAGCTCCTAGCCGACCTAACTGTGAAGTAGTTCTTGCGGATGTCTAATCTAAATCTACTCTCCAATAATTTGTGTCCATTGTTCCTTGTCATGCCAGGAGGCGCTAGGGGAAACAGTGTCTCCCCTAAACCCTTCTGGTCCCCCCTAGTGAGTTTATAGACAGTCACCAGGTCCCCCCTCAGCCTTCTCTTGTGCAGGCTGAACAGGTTTAGGTCCCGCAGTCTTTCAATGTAGGGTCTGCCCTGTTGTCCCTGGATCATGCGGGTGGCCCTCCTCTGGACCCTTTCAATGTTGTCCACATCCCTCCTGAACTGTTTTTGATGACATCATCCATCCGCGCCATCCCCAGCCAGAAATAAAAGTGGCTGATGAACCACATGGGCACTCCATTCCGGCATGGCTCATCTGGCTCCGCTTCTTCTGAAAAACCTAAGTTTGCCCTATCCTCAGGGCTTTTCTCTTTCCTCCCAAGGTGAGTCAGCCCTGCTTTGGGTCCCACCACAGAAGAGGGCTTCGGGCCCACTGCTTGCATCCCCCTGGGACAGGAACCATTAAACATGCTCAGACAAAGTCCCTGGTATCCAAAAGTGGGTTCTCAGTTCTTCTCCAGGACTAAGTATAAAGGTTCAAAAAGCCCAAGGCACAATTGATTCAATCTTCGCAGGTTTTTCTAAGTTGCATAAACTGAACCAATACCAAAATGAACCAGCGCCAAACCCCTAACCAGGGTCTGCCCAACATGGGAGGAAGTCCTCACTGGAGAGCTTTTCACTCTGTCCTGCCCCCTCAGCTGGGAGCCAGGTTGAGATTCTCCCAGGCTCACCCCTCCCCAGCCTCTACCTGAGGAGGGTGCAGGGCTGGGTGGAATCTCAGCCCAGGGCCTTTCCTCCCCTTGCTTTACTGAGTGGGACTCGGGGTCCGTTCCTCTGCCTCCCCCCCCGGTCCTTCTGGGCTGACAGGTAAGAAGCAGGCTAGGGAGCAGAGGCTATACTGCCTCAGCTCTGTGACAGCTGGGCAGCTGGACAGCTGAAGCAGGCAGCACAGGGATGCAAAGCATCTTGGGATGCTGGGGGGCTGTGAATTAACTTGAAATCGGGAGGGGGTCTGGGACAGAAGTTCCATAAACACGTATGACCTAAATCAGTTAAGTTTGATCCAGGTTTATCTTAAATCAGTTTTGGCCATTTTGAAAACAGGTTAACATGCACTGAACTTCAGTTCTGTTACAGTTTTAAACTGGTTTCTGATCACTTCAGCCAGTTTATGTGTAACTTCTGTCCCTGGCCCAGATGACTCAAGTCAACTGCAACAGAAATAGTAAAAAGCTAAATTTATCAGACTCTTGCACATGATAGAAGTCTGCACTTGAACAGAGCCCTCAGTTAAATGCCTACCCTGAGGGTTATTTTTAAAAAATGTTTATGAATTTTTAAACAGAGAAACATTCTGTAATGAGATGTTTTAAATCTGTACTTCAATAATTATACATGAAACCATCCCATCCTTCTGGATGATACCTTAAAGAGTATTACAGAAATTATTACGTATTGTCTTTGCTTGCCTGTAACTGATGACTGTCATGCCACCTCACGACACACTATTAATGAAACTGGTTACATCCTCTAGTGGTCATTTCTTTCATGATCAAACAATTTTTAAAAGAATAATTTAATTGGGTCAGACACAGTGTTAACTAATGATAAACTAGAACAGAAAATCACAAATGGAGTAAACTGAAATCATTTATATTCTTTGCCTACTAACCCAGATGTTTATGCTGGCTAATATTTTCAAAATAAAAGCATAAAGTCAGACCTCTGAGTAGGTAGCAGATGGCAAGATGACTTTGAAAATCTGACTTTTAGGTGAACCTGGAGCCAGGAGTCTAACTTTAAGCTCCTGATTTTCTTAAACTTATGATTAAAACATACCTTATATAAAAGTTACTTCATGAATTACAAGGAAGAAGACAAACTATTATACCCTTGCTGGCATGAGTAAATTGTAAAAAAAAAATCATGGCCTTGCTATTTTTTCCTAAAGTGATGATGGAGTTAGCTATCTCTTTGGTGCAGTCCTATTTAAGTACAGACAGTATAAAGTTCTGTTTCCCTGAAGATGGGAAGAACCCAAAACAAGAAGAAATTTCTTTGTTCACTGCCTGAAGTAGTCTTTCACCCAGAATGCTGACCAAACTATCCTTTCCCTGGGCTTACCTTACAGGCACGTGCCATGCTTATGCAAACTACATCTGACTTTAAGCTCTGTCCACTTATGTGTGTTTTTCCTTGTTCTCTCTTTTTTCAAGTGTGTGCACACATGCACACAATATCTGTTAAAGCTCCTCCATCTAAAGAGTTCAAATTCCTGAGATGACTTGCATATGCCTTTAGTTCATGCGCTTATTTCTTGTAGCTATCTGAAATGAAGGGTGAAGGATACACTCACCAGGTTTAATGATGTAACCTACTCTATAACAATGTATAATGTTAGTAAGAGAACTCTTAAACATCAATACAATTGAAAGGGTCTCTGAAAAAATTCCCAAAGCAGCTCAACTAAAATAACATGATTTAAAACAGTTATAAAAAACAAACTACAAAAATAACCCTTACAAATATTTGTGATATTACCATAAATTTGCTCATGAATAAAGGGAATTGTAAGCAAATATGTGACTACTATCCGCAAGGCAAGCTATAAATAATTTATGAAATGAAGTATAAATATTCTAACTTTTAACTTTAAGTCAAGAGAAATATGAATTCAGATAGAAGGTAAATGTGTATAATGCTTAAGAATTTCCTATTCAAAGAGTTCCAAGGCTCCCTTCACTGCTTTAATGTATATGCACATTTGAAATTTGCAATGGAGTTTTGTCAAAGTTAAGAGTCACACTCGAGTACTGCACACTGGGATACATGCTTCATTTCAATGCTGCAGGTTAAGAAGAAAATGCTCCCCTT